ATAGATTCCAACATAAGTTGGAATGAGCATCTCAAAAACTTAAAACTAAAGCTACTTTCTCTCCGTTTTGCTATTCACAGAAATAAAAACAGAATTCCCAGAAAGCATCTGTGGCTACTGTTCGAAGCTTTGTTTATGTCGCAAATAAATTATGTTAATCCAATTTGGAATCGATGTTCCGCCCAAAGAATGAACGAATTGCATAAATTCAGAATAAAATGATTAAAAAGATGATATTAATTACACAGAAATTCCCGTCTACAATTTTCGGAACCAACGTGACACAGTGTTGGTACACGTAGGGAAAATTCCGTACACGTAGGGATTTTAGTCGAATAAAATGAGTGTAGGGAAAAGAAGGACAGATTTTAAAGAATCAGTGAAGTATAGGGATTTTTCGAAAAATCGCAATTTTTTAACATTTTTTCCGTTAGAATGCATATATGCAGATCAGATCATGTGACAACTTTTTATTTAGAATAGATATGTGCGAATGGCAGCACTAAGTCCGAAAAGTGTTCCAGCATGCAATCACCACCAACTTCATCAAGGCGAATTTATACAAAGTGGTATTACCGGCGAATTTAGATTTTCGTTTCGGTTGTACTGATTGTCAAAATGATGTGTTTTTTATAAATTTGTTTTGTTCTAATTGCCATTGGGCGTATACAGTGAAAACCGCTTAAGTACCTAATTCGCTTAAGTAACCAACATTTCTGAACACCGTGAATTTTTGAATACTAGAGTTCCAGTTACTGTCGAAATTCGACAGTTTTTCTAGTTTTAGAAGCCTTGGAGAGGTTTTCTAACTTAACACGTAGCGATACTTATACGGTACAAATTAACTAACCGGAAAATCTTCTGCTAAAACGTAACGAATTTTTTTTTTATCTGAGAAGGTCTTTGGAGGACTTCGGCAGGACTTGAAATTGACCCGATACATTCAAGTTTATCGATAAATTTCGATGATTTGATACATATCGATAGTTCGATGAACTTCAAGAACACTAAAATTCGATAACTCAACAAAATTCGTTAACGCGACCAATTTCGACAACTGTGAAATCCGATGGCTCGATAAATTTCGATAACTCAAAAATGTAAAAACTTTTGATACTTTTATAAATTTTTACTTTTGACATCTTCACATTTTTCGAAAACTATCTAAACATTTTGAAAACTCGTTACACTCTCTTAAGACGATTAAATTCGATAAGCAGTGATAAATCGATAAGCTTATATAACCTTGAAATTTCGATAAATCGATATATTTTGAAAATTCCATAAACTTTGCTTTGTTGAACCAACCAATTTCAGTAGATCAATAATTATCGATAACTCTGTAAGTTGAAAGAACTCCATGCATTACGACTCCTCGACATATTTTGTTAAGTCTATAAATAATGATAATTCAATAAATATCGATAACTTGATACATTTCTTTAACTTGACAAATTTCGTTAATCCCACACGTTTTTATAGCTCGATAACTATCCGTAAATTTGGACAACTAAGTTTATGTGTCTATAAATTTCGACAACTCAGTAAACATTAATCAGTTTGAATAATTCGATACGTTGCGATAACTTAATAAGCATGGATAAATTTTGATAATTATAAACTTAGATGATTCGATAAATTTCAGTAACCTTTATGGCTGATTTTATTTCGATTCCTATCTTTTAACATAATTCTTATGTATTTCTCATTGTCTCAATTTTCTCCTTTATCTCGATTTTCGTCTTTATCTTCACTTTTGCCTTTTTTTTTTGTCTTCATCGTTGTTCGAGCGTTAAGCTCTCACTATACTTGTCGTCGCAAACCCTTCGCACTTTCGTTTTCGATAGCTACGCCACTGGCTCATACTTTTCATTACTCATGCTTCGGTCGCTCTACATTGCACTTTCGTCGCTGCATTGCACTTCATTGTTGTTGCTAACGCACCGCTAATCAGCAGCTTATGCAAAGGTGCGTGCATAAACAACACAATTTTTGGACCATCGTTGCGCGCGTCACTCGTCGTAGCGGTTATAAACTCTTCGCTGCACAAACAACAATAAGCATCGCTAAACCGCACATTTCCATATCGCTCTTCTCCCGCTATTCGTCGTTATTAATATTTAAGCATAAGCAAATAGTTTTAGAAATTGTCTGTACAGTCCATTTGAAGATCTCCTAGCGTACGGAGCAATAAAGGCATAAAACCAGACTTCAATTTGTTAAATTATTTTTTTGCATTCGACAGCCGGTAAAAACCATTACTCGGCTCGACCAAGGTCCTTCGAGCCGGATCGAACGGCAATCGCAGTTAATTTTCTGTATTTTCGCATCGTGAAATCTGACCACTTAACTTTAAACATAAAAAATTCTTGCCTTGATAATGGATGCAGAGGGCAAAGCAGATCCACAGTTTGGCGACGCGGCGACACCAACAAGGTCAAGCAGCAACAACAACATTCGCGTTAAGGAGCTGCAGCGAGAACAGTTATGCCGTCGAGTTGCTGATCTACGTGAAAACTTGCTTCACCTCAACGCCATGACACCCTCGCAACTCGAGACTAAGCTAGCGCTCCTCGAGCATCATTTCACCACTTTCGAGCGCTTGCAATCAGAGCTGGAGTTTCTAGATGACTCGCAATTTGAATTGGATCATCGCATCGTCTTCGAAGAGTCTTTTTGTGAGGTGAAAAGTGCCATCGTCGAACGTATAGCTGTACTTCGAAGAAGTGATTGCCTCAGTAGCACCATAGTCCCTGCACTAAATTCTTCGTCGTCACCGCCAGCCCGGCATAGTTTGCCTAAGCTGCAGCTTACTAAATTTAGCGGCAAACATACTGAGTGGCTAGACTTCTACAACATGTTTAAAGTCCTTGTGCACAACAATGCTGGACTTTATGATATTGAGAAATTTCAATATTTGCGCTCTTGCTTAGTTGACAGCGCATTTCGCTTAATCCAGTCGTTGGAAGTTACGAACGAAAATTATCACCGTGCGGTGGAATTGCTTGTTAACCGCTATGACAATAAGCGGTATATTTTTCAATCACACCTGCAAGCTATCTTCGATAATGGGGCACTCAGTCACCCAACCGTCGTTTCTCTTCGGGAATTCATCGATTCCATTAACGCTCATCTACGTGCCATGCAGTCATTGGCATCGCGCAGTCAAATCGCTGACGGGATTTTACTCCATCTCATCGTGGCAAAGTTGGATCATGAAATGCGGCTCAAATGGGAAGAAGAAGTGTCAGCCAAGTGGGACAATTCAGCAAATACTTCGCTCCAACTTCCATCGTGGGATGATCTAGCTTCGTTCATTGAGCGACGCTGCCAAACAGTTAACATGGTAAAGGCCAACAGAAGCGCATCGGGTAAGGTCACGGCAGCAAAAACCCCAGCCCGTTCATCGAAGGTTAGTTCAGCATTGGTCACGTCATCGAGCAACAACAAATGCCCACTATGCGATGAACTCGCCACACACAGTGCTTTCAAATGTGACAAATTCACCGCCATGGATCCAATGCAGAGGTATGATCTTGCTAAGAAGAAAACCCTTTGCTTGAACTGTCTGAGTAAAGGCCACGTATCGAGCAAATGTCCATCAAATAATCGGTGCCAATACTGCAAGGTAAGTCATCATTCTCTACTTCATCGTACTCCACCTTCCACAAGTCTGCACAAGAGTCCACGCAAGCACAAGCAGTGGCGCTGCACGCTCATCGACCAGTTAATGACGTCATCCTTGCTACTGCAATAGTGCAACTTCACAACAATCGTGGCACCTCGGTCATGGCTCGTGCGCTGCTTGACTCGGCATCTCAGTTAAACTTCGTTTCCGAGCGCACCGCCCAGATGCTGAAGGCTTCTCGCACCAAAATCGCCATGGAAATCTGTGGAATAGGAGCGCTACGAACTAAAGCAAAGTACATAGCTGTTGTCGGACTCAAATCCCTGCATACGGGTTTTTCATCGTCATTGGAAGCGGTTATCATGCCATCGATTTCATCGTCTCAGCCACGAACCACTATCGATATTGTTCGCTGGGGAATACCCAAAAACATAAATTTAGCCGACACCAGCTTTTATATCCCCGGTGCTATTGATCTGCTTCTTGGTGCGAGCGCTTTCTTCGAAATTCTTTCGGTGAGGCAAATAAAGTTGCACAAAAATCTACCCACACTGCAGAAGACATAGTTGGGCTGGATTGTTGCTAGAGCTCTCACTTCACATTCCCCACTCTCGTCATCATCGGTGTTAACATCGTCATCCTTGCCTTATAACGAGTCATCTTCACTCACGAACTCATCGCTGGAAGCCCGCTTGGAAAAATTCTGGGAGATAGCAGATAACTGTTATAAACTATCGCTGGAGCGCGTAACTACAGAGCATGGATGTGAAGAACATTTTCTCCGAAATACTACGCGCTGCTTGCTCACGAAAAGTTCATCGTACGCCTCCCCTTCATCGAAAATCCCGCTGGGTTAGGCAATTCACTGGAAACTGCTCGCCGAAGATTTTTCGCAATAGAAAGGAGACTAGAAAGCAACGAGGAGATGCGGCAAGAGTACAAGGCGTTCATGAACGAGTATAGTGAGCTAAAACACATGGTGCCGGTTGATCCAAGGGAATTGACGTCGAAGGAGGGTACCTACATTCCCCACCACTGTGTTGTGAAGGTGGATAGTTCGACAACCAAGGTACGTGTGGTATTCGACGCTTCATGCCGCACGTCCAATGGAAAAGTGCTGAATGACATTCTACACGTAGGGCCCACACTACAAGATGATATAGTTAAAATTCTCCTTCGTTTTCGAACTCATCACTTCGTCTTAATGGCCGATATTGCCAAAATGTATCGGCAAATCATCGTTGACTCACGTGACGCCAAATGGCAGTGTATTTTGTGGCGCAATTCACCTTCAGAACCGCTAACAACAATTCAACTGCAAACTGTAACATACGGCACCAGTTGCGCTCCATTCTTGGCAGTTCGTTGTTTGCAGCAACTTGCACGCGAAAACATGAAAGCCTACCCCGTAGGACCTCCAATCACCCTTCGGGACTTCTACGTTGACAATTTAATGAGAGGAGGGTCTACTGTAGAAGAAGTTATCAGAATAAAATCTGAAGTCACCGCATTACTAGCATCGGGAGGCTTCCCCCTTCGCAAATTCGCCTCTAACTGCAGCGAAATTATTGCAGGCATACCCAGCGTGGACATGGAGGAGATTGTTACAGTTGATGACATGACCTAGATAAAGGCGCTTGGGTTGAAATGGTCACCAACTAGCGATCAATTCCTCTTCTCGTACAATTCGTCGCAACACACTTCACCGAAGGCTACCAAACGTACCATATTAGCACAAGTGGCAAGTTTCTTCGACCCCTTAGGCGTACTTAATCCTATCATCGTTAAGTGCAAAATTTTGATGCAGCACCTCTGGAAACTGCGGTTAGCGTGGGATGAAAGTGAACCGCTCTCTATTTGCACAGAATGGGAGAGCATATGCCAACAACTAGCCCTCGTTAACCGCATTAAAGTGCCACGGTATGTATGCTTTAACAATAACACTAACCTACATGCCTTTGCGGATGCAAGCGGTAAGGCATATGGGGCCTGTATTTATGCTGTCTCTCACAATGACAACGCGGTGCAGTCAACGCTTATTTGCGCTAAGTCACGAGTGGCACCAACGAAGGAAATCACCTTGCCCAAATTGGAACTATGCGCCGCTCTGCTACTCTCAGAGCTGCTTCAGTCGGTCTTGGAGACATATAGCGCGCGGCCTAGCAATGTACACTGATGGTCTGACTCAACGATCACCTTATCATGGTTGCAGCGTGAACCACATCACTGGACCACGTTCGTAGCTAACCGGGTGGCAAAAATCCGGCGCATCACGGGTGACTTTACATGGCATCACGTCCCGTCCGAGGAAAATCCAGCGGATTTGGTGTCACGTGGGGCTTCAGTAGAGGGGCTCATCGGTAATAACTTGTGGTTTCATGGACCAGCATTCCTAGCAAAGAACAGTAGCAGCTGGCCACGCAATCCAGTAGACGCTTTACAAGAAGTTCCAGAGCAACGAATGCTTTGTTTTTCCGTGACATCATCGCTACAAGAAGATATCATCGCTGAGCATAAGTACGTGAACAGCTACAGCAAACTTTTTCGTATCTTCGCTTACGTCAGACGGTTTACTTCGTCGCTGCGTCATCGTTTTGTTGAATCTGGACCGATTACTGCCAGAGAACTAGACGACTCGTTGTTGACTGTATGTCGATACATACAGCTCGTAGCGTTCGCCGATGATCATAAGTCACTGCACACATCTGGAGTTAGTCGTAGTACTAAGCTCCATCAATTATCGCCATTTCTACACGACGAAATAATCCGGGTTGGTGGAATAATTTCGAACTCATCGTTGCCTTGGACCACAAGCCATCCAATACTTCTTCCAAAAACGCACCCATTCGTGCGTACCCTCATTGAAGCGTTTCATCGCCAATACCTCCATGCAGGTTGCCAAACTCTGTTGAGCATTCTTCGCGATAGATTTTGGATTATCAATGCTCGAAGCATCATCAAACAGGTAATTCACAACTGCATTTTGTGTTATCGCAACAAACCCAAACTGGAACAACAGCTCATGGGCGCACTTCCTCGAGAACGTGTGGAACCCGCTCATCCCTTTGAAGTAGCTGGTGTAGATTATTGCGGCCCTTTGACGATCACGCAACGCATCAGAAGCAAGGGCCCCCTCAAAGTGTACATAGCGCTGTTTATCTGCTTCACAACAAAGGCGGTGCACCTGGAGTTGGCACCAGACCTAAGCACACCATCGTTCATTGCCGCCCTAAAGCGCTTCATTGCGCGCAGAGGCAAATGTCGAACAATCTTCTCTGATAATGCAACAAATTTCGTCGGGGCAAATCGAGAGCTGCGAGAGCTTTTATCTGCATTCACGTCGCAACAGCACATCGATAAGGTTCAATCATCGCTAGCTGGAGAAGGCATAGAATGGAGATTTATACCCCCACGATCACCCCACTTCGGTTGGCTATGGGAAAGCGCAGTAAAGCGTGCCAAGTATTATCTACGGCGCGCTGTCGGCTCTCATCTGCTCACATTTGACGAGCTACACACGGTTTGCTGCCAAACGGAAGCGATGATAAACAGCCGCATTTCTTAGTTGGCAGAAGTCTCACCACTGTCATCGAACCATCGCTTCAACAAACTTCTACTGGATTACTCGCCAGGTACCAAATTGTTCAATCAGTACAACAAGGCTTTTGGGAACGATGGCGGCAGGAATATTTAAAGGAACTCCAGCAGCGCACAAAGTGGAAGACTACATGTCAAAATTTGCAGAAGAACGACATGGTTCTTATCAAGGAAGAATCCACACCACCTATGAAGTAGCCACTGGGTAGAGTGGTCGATAATTTCCCTGGCAAAGATGGTGCAGTACGAGTGGTTCTTATCAAAACCGCTGATGGAACATATAAGAGAGCCATAACTCGTGTATGCAAGCTACCTATCGATTCGTCGTCGCCGCAACATCAATAGTTGGAACCAAGCTTCCAAGGGGGGAGAATGTTCGAGCGTTAAGCTCTCACTATACCTGTCGTCGCAAACCCTTCGCACTTTCGTTTTCGATAGCTACGCCACTGGCTCATACTTTTCATTACTCATGCTTCGGTCGCTCTACATTAAACTTTCGTCGCTGCATTGCACTTCATTGTTGTTGCTAACGCACCGCTAATCAGCAGCTTGTGTAAAGGTGCGTGCATAAACAACACAATTTTTGGACCATCGTTGCGCGCGTCACTCGTCGTAGCGGTTATAAATTCTTCGCTGCACAAACAACAATAAGCATCGCTAAACCGCACATTCCATATCGCTCTTCTCCCGCTATTCCTCGTTATTAATATTTAAGCATAAGCAAATAGTTTTATAAATTGTCTGTACAGTCCATTTGAAGATCTCCTAGCGTACGGAGCAATAAAGGCATAAAACCAGACTTCAATTTGTTAAATTATATTTTTGCATTCGACAGCCTGTAAAAACCATTACTCGGCTCGACCAGAGACTTTCGAAGTTAAACTTCAAAGTATTACGGAACGAGTAACGACATTGAAGGCTACAGAAAATAAACCTAAAATTTATGAGCCGGTTAAAATAGT